CCCATTTGGTCTACACACAAATTGAGGATCAGTGCCAGCTATGTGCATCCCCACTTGGTGATGCCATATGCATTATTACCACGGTGTGTTCCCCCTTATCAGGCGGTCCCGTGTCTTCCCTAAACCGCTAACAAGCTTATCATATGTAGCACTACCCCTTCTTTAGGGCTAGTCCATATGCCCCCTTACCATCAGGTCTCCCCTTCTGGGTAGCAGATGGTCTCCCCCGCGTCCTCCCCCTGCGGGGACTGATGCTTTCCCAACGTACTGTCGTATTTCCAAAAATCCCTAGTCTATATTAGCTAGTTAAAAGCTCACTTACGACCCCCGATTAAACATTAAACATGCATTCCCATGTCATGGTTATATGTTGGGCCTAGGGGACGTTGGAAGGTTGCGCTCTTGGTGAGGTCAGTGCACTCACGCCAATTCAATTGGCAATTCATTGGCCCGTTTTTATATCCTCAGAATTGATTGGTCATCTAAAGCACTCCCAAAGTCTGTTTATACAGACACACGTCTCCGTTCCCTATTCGGGGAACGTGGGTTACGTACGTAACCTGGACATTCTTTTTGATGTAATTTATTCGTAAAATATGTTCAAAAACAGTGCCCCAGTGCATATCCTGACACTGGCTAAGTAAACTAAATAAGTTAGGGTATTTTACTTTACATTTCAAAGTGCTTAAATGTAAGCCAACTTAATTTCAAATCATATTTTGTGAATTGGCTTTTCATTCCGCTGTGGCGATCCCTGATGAATAAAGGGACTAAACCCTTTAAAGGGAGAAAAATGAATGAATTTAGTGAATTGTGCTCAAATGGAAGTTTTTTAAATAACATGCCTGAAATCTACAACACAGAGACTCCTACCTCCGTAAAAAAAATCACGAACAAATTGACAGACATCAACTGAAAAGAATTATACCTCAAAAACTCGTCGCACCCCTCTAGGTCTCTAGTTTTATCCTTTATTGAATACACCCTATTCATACAGAAATTGTTTGTCACGGGGATGTATATGATTCTCACCATTTTTTAGGAGGTAGTTGGGGATTTTATTTCAATCCAAATCCGGAATGTGAATGTTTTTCACTCACACAACCCATGTAAAAGTCCCAAGTTGAATTGCCTACTGTTCTATGACGAACACTAAGATCGTGTGGAGATTTAATTGCCATCCAAATCCACATCTGTGAGTTTTGTTAGGAGATCAAATCAAAAAGTTGATTCATAAACCCTTTTTGGCTACTAATACATACCATGCGGTTGCACTTTATGGTCATTTGCATCAGAAAAGAGGCATCTCATAGAATATCATGACGATCAAGCAATCACTGATGTTGAAACTACATGTGAAACTAGCATGAGTTTTATGAATGTTAGGGCTAAAATCTGCTGTATAGTGGGTCTAAGAAATCATGTTTGAGGATCTCGCATGTTAAAAACTAGCATCTGTCCGACCATGTGAATGATCGTGTGAGACCTGTAGATCTGCAGGATCACAAACCCAGTGGTCCAAATTATCTTCATCCAAAGGCATGTGTTTATTCACTGAGGATCAATAGAGATTTTTCTTTTACTTCACTGAGTAGGGATGGATATCATTAAGGTTTTAAAGGTATTACTACTTTTATTGATACCACTTACTGGTTCGGTACTTAACGGTTCTCTTATCGGTTCTTTTCTCTGTAACGACACTTTATTTTATTATTATATTTTTAATGTAAAATAAAACAAAACCAATAATTGTAAAACAAATATATAAAATTTTTCCAGTAAAAGAATGTGCAAAGGTTTGAAGGAAAATGACTCTCAGTTTTTAACCCTTCTTTTGGAGAAAAATCAACATGTTTGTCTTTTTTGGTAGAAGGGATCTTTCTTGGTTTATTCTCCTCCCTGCAGCTGAAAATACCCTCTTTGAGTTTCAAAATGCAGGTAAATAATCAGATAATGTTTAAGAGTTTTTATTAACACATTCACATAAATGAGTTAAAGGTGTTTTGAGAGTTTACAATGTAAAAATAAGCAGTTTTAAAAAATAATTTCTCAATAAGCAAAGTTTATTATTAGGCTATTCATAGGCTATATTTCATAAATTCAGTAATGTAAAAGCATTTTTAATGTTTAAAGTATATTTAGGCTGCTGCAAAAAAAAATACAGTTTTCAATGTAACCGAATGTGTGTTTATTTAACTATTAATAGTATACTAATTTAGAGATACCTCATGTGTGTTTATTTAACTATTAATAGTATACTAATTTAGAGATACCTCATGTGATGGACTGCTAGCATAACGATATGGATTATGTAGCTTAAGCTAGGCAGTCGAAAACTTTTCATTTGTCTTTCTGCAGGTAGCGCACTATTGAAAGATGCTTAGCCAGATTGCTTGTGTTTCCACTTATACAAGAAAACAACTTGTTGCAACATGCACAGTCAGTGTCTACTTAAGAATTACAACACGTTATGTTCTCTTTGCCACTCCACAAGCTTACGAGCTGTGTGTGCGATTCTTTGTCGCGAGCTATGTGTGTGCACTTAGTGTGAGCCTCTGCTAAGTGAGCTTGCACAGCCGAGAACTGTTAAGGCTTTTATACAACACGCTCGCCGTTGTACTATTGAGTGAAAACATTTCTCATGTGAGATTGCCAACTGTGCAGACGAATATCAAATATTGCAAATTAGAAAAAGGTTGGTCAGTTAAATTATGCTACTGTAAGTAATGGTTATTCAGCAATATTTTTCCAGTACTGATAGCAGAACCATTAACGTCAGAGCTTATCGATACTTCTGCCTTTTAGAATTTAGAACCGAAAAAAGTACTGTGTTTCAGTACCCATCCCTGACAATGAGAAATTACTGTTGTCCAATTAGGTGGTCAATAGTATCGTCTAAGTATCGTCCAATCAGTACTGAAATTCGAATGACGTCAATTTCTTGCTATATTTAGTGCTGTTGAGCATATTCTTAAACATTAGTCATTGTGTTCACAGGCCCAACAGGTACATTATGACTTTGATTGGCCATGAAGCTCATCGGTTTTCCAATCTTTTCCGCTGTTCACCTAGTACAAACATATGAACACTGTAATGTTTTAAAACTGCGTCAATCAGCTGATCTGTCTATAAGCAGAAGAATGAGCAATCCACTGATGGTCTGTTATTGCTTTGAAACACTCCAGAGTTCATGCATCTGAGGTTAATACTTTTGACAACCCTCATTGTCCTGTGCATTCGATTCTATGACAGTTTAAATTAAAAATGGCCCTGTCCAGTTTGTGTAAATTTACATTTATGACCTACTTTTCCCACTTTTGATGTCAAGAATTTTGGGTTAATTGTATGTTCACTGCACATCATATCTCGGTTTTAATCTGCAGATCATCAAAGCATAACCTGTGACAGTACCTGTTCACCTTGAGAATAACAATGCGAGCTTGCAAAATATACATTTTACATAGTCTTACACATGTTTTTCAAAGTAGTGAATCCACACTTTTAATGCCTTACAATCAAAAATTGTTCTTCAAAAATAAATTGTGTGTCCGGATTGAATTCTCCAGACTTTAAGAAGCCCTGGTGTACCCTATATAATAAAGCATACTCTGAAAGGTTTCACAATCAACTATGCACATGCAATAAAGGTAAAGATGTCAAAACGATATCAGTAAAAACCTTGATATGAATATAAAGTGAGTCAGTATAATCAATTAACCCACTAACCCACTTAATCAGTTCCCTGTGTCACTTACTATTGCACAGACGGCGTTCAGTTCTGCCTCAGTGGTTTGGTGGAAATACAGTAATAACAGCAGACTGTTGTTCAACAAAAGCCGGCATCAATTCCAGCGAGTGCTAAATGAACGCATTAGGAAGCTGCCTTTGAGCATGTAGTGTGTGTTGAGGTGAAGCGCTCAGCATATAGAGCTGCAAACTCAGCGATAAATATTCTCTGCCGGAGACTGTCTGGCCTAACGCTGTGAAAGCAATAAAATGCTCTTCAAAATCCGCAGTAAAATTCAAACAGCATGGCCCGGCACAAATATCATTCTCCCAGCTCATTCGTGACTCAGCGCCAAGTTTGTTTTCCACCAGACCACTGCCAATAAGACGGGCTGCTTTTGTGACACTCTGAGCAAAGAATTATGAGATGTTTTTTCAAGTTTAAACCAGCATCTAAATTAAGTTCTAGCTTATATTTAGGTTTATATCCAAAGCTTTGTGCTACAGTAGGCCCATTTTACATTTACCAAAACAATGAATAAAATGGAACAGCTGAATTACATCATTTTAGTACCATAAGCCTCTCTTGTTTGGGAAAAAAAATCCATTATCATTAAAGCCTATCAAATTATGGTTACCACAGAGAGCCTCAATTACTAATAATGGCCATGCAGGCCTAATACTGACAACAGAAACCATGAATATGGAACTTCCACTTGTTCCCTTTCAGAGCACTTAACTGCTGTAAAACGGAAATGAGCCACGCTTGTAAAGCAGATCGTTCAAACATTGCTCATTTTCTCACAAGAGCTCATTAAACAGCAATACATATACATACACAATTAAGGCATTTCCCTAATTGTGCCTCAGGCTGGTGGTCTGGATGTAAATAATGTCAGAACTGGCTCGTAATGCTTACAGTAAGGCTAAATTGAACAAAAGTTGCAGACGCAGCTCCAACAAACTTTGGAGAAAATTCTGGAGCCAATTATCACAATACTACAGTAATGATGTTAATGTACTTTCGTGCTGATATTACACTCACATTGTGTTTAAAAAGTAACCAATATCACTGCATTTTATTTGTATTGTGCAAAACAGAAGCTTGTTAAGTTAAAATGTAACAAATATGACTTAATGAGGACAAAGAATTATCAGTCTGCACAAGTGTGTTCTTGCTTAACTGTGATTCACAACAATAAGCTTCATTTATTCATTTATTCATTCATTTATTCATTCATTCATTCATTTTCTTCTGCTTTTCCGGGGCTGGGTCGTGGGGACAGCAGTCTCAGGAGAGAGGCCCAGACTTCCCTCTCTCCAGACACTTCCTCCGGGGGGATCCCGAGGCATTCCCAGGCCAGCTGAGAGACATAGTTTCCTCCTAGGTCTTCCTCGAGGCCTTCTCCCAGTGGGACATGTCTGGAACACCTCCCTAGGTAAGTGTCCATGAGGCACCCCAAACAAATGTCCGAGCCAACTTAGCTGACTTATCTCGATGTGGTGGAGCAGCAGCTTTACTCCAGGCTCCCCACGGTTGACAGAACTCCTCACTCTATCTATAAGAGTGCACCCAGCCACCCTGTGAAGGAAACTCATTTCAGCCGCTTGTATCTGAGATCTTGTTTTTCCGGTCATGACCCAAATCTTATGAGCATAGGTGTGAGTAGGAGTTGGCTCAGGTCTTTCTCAAATCAAATCAAATCACTTTTATTCTTCACCACAATAGACCGGTACATTGACTGCATTACTGCTGCCGCTGCACCAATCCGCCTGTCAATCTCACCTTCCATCCTTCCATCACTCATAAACAAAACCCCAATATGTTTGAAATCCACCATCAGGGGTAAGGACTTTGTTCCAACCTGGAAATTGGAAGCATAATGGCATTTCCATTAACCACCACCTTATTGTAGTGAAGGATTTGAGTGCCTGAGTGATTCTAAGAGCTATGTTGTGGGGGGCTAATGCCCCTGGTAGGGTCTCCCAAGAAAAAAGGAAAAGTCTTAGGTGACAGATCAGACTAATTGTGGTTTAAAAACCCTTTATGAGTGCAAAAAGATTGAGGAACCTGAAATTGCCCTGAATGGTGCAGCCAAGGCTCCACCCTGAAGACAGGCCTGGGTTTGGGGCTCAAATGCAAGCACCTGGTGGCCAGGTTTTATTCCACGGAACCTGGTCAGGCTCAGCCAAACGGAGCAACAAAAGGGCCGGTGCATTGTGGAATGGGTGGGGGTTGAAAGTTAGGACCATGACAACCCGATTGTCAGGTACAATAAGCTTTGAATAACAACTTATCAATTGAGATATTGGATCAGATTTTTTGCAAATGTCCCTTTTATGATCATCATTGTGTCATCCTTACATAAGTGTTCTTACAAAAATGTTTGCATGTGGCACAATAAGAACAATATAAAGTTATTCCACAAAAAAGCTAATAGACGATGCAGTGGCGAAGAAGCTAGTGCTGTCACCTTACAACAAGAAGGTCGCTGGTTCGAGCCTTGGCTGGACCAGTTGGCATTTCTGTGTGGAGTTTGCATGTTCTCCCTGTGTTTGCGTGGGTTTCCTCCGGGTGCTCTGGTTTCCCCCACAGTCCAATGACATGTGGTACAGGCGAATTGGGTAGGATAAATTGTCCGTAGTGTATGAGTGTGAATGAGTGTGTATGGATGTTTCCCAGAGATGGGTTGCAGCTGGAAGGGCATCCGCTGCATAAAAACATGTGCTGGATAAGTTGGCAGTTCATTCCGCTGTGGCGACCCAAGATTAATAAAGGGACAAAGCTGAAAAGAAAATGAATGAATAAATGAATGAATGAATGAAAGACTGAAGGCGTATAAACCTTACTTTTTCAAATTAAACAATGATGCAGATAGAGAGTTTTGTAGAAAAGGAACAGAAGTAATGTACTGTACATCCAGAGATTATGGAAATGTAAAAATGTAATGCAATTTTAATTGCAATTTGTAAGTGAAAGTCAAAATCTAAATTAAAAACATGGCATGCATTTAGAGAATATATCTGGGTCAGATTCATTTCATACTGCTTTAATATATTTGAGGGACAATTGCCATTCCATGTATTGACCTTATTCTAAAATGCAGAAGTGCGCCTGTTTTCCCAATTGTTTTAGAACTTCCGATTCAGTCGCCTATGGGAGAAATGACTAGGAATAACAAACGTCAGAAAACGGTTAAACTATTTGCTCGACAAACAAATGTTTGCATGACTATACAGACCAAGTAGAATAATATAATAAGAAAATATCAGTTTGCAACATCAAACAGCGAAACATGCAGTTTTTAATGTCTAAAAATGAATGGAAGTGAATGACACCGGAAGTCTCGAGCCAAAAAGATTCAAATGGCTGCGCCCACTCTGCGAAGAATAAGGTGAATATTTTTGAAGACAGGCATTGACTCTGGACCAAAATGAATGTGCCTCTACTTTGAGCAGGTACAGTACATTTAATTTTAACTTTGTTGTTACCTTCCAGCATCGCAGTATTTCATATATTTCCATCAAAATTTCAAGATGAAACATTAAACTGGATTTTACATTTTGTGTAGCCAGAATGTTTCTGTTAAGAAATCAAAATCTGTTGTTTTATAACTCTCTCTTTAAATGCAAATGAGCTGCTTATCCACACCCCCATCTAAAAGAGGGCAGAGCCTTTACAGCCAGTGTCTCACTTACTCCTGCAATACCAAGCACATAAATTTTAAACCTTGCCAGGTCAACTCATAATACAGTTTTATGAAAACGAAAAAAACTCAAACAAATGGGGCCCTATCATACACCCGGTGCAATGTGGCACAAGGTGCGACGCAATAGTTAGTTGCTAGTTTCAGCATGGCGCAAGTGTCGTTTTGAGGCGTTGCGCCATGTTGTTTAAATAGCAAATGCATTTGCGCTCATATGTGCGCCCCTAGGCATTCTGGTCTAAAAAGGAAGGCGTTCTGAGGTGTATTGCTGGCGCGTTGCTATTTTGAGAAACTATAATAGATTTTTCAATACACCAAAACAAACCCGGTCTAAAGTCCAGCGCAGAGTTGCGCCTCACTTATACACTGCTTAATACACACAAGATTTAGAGCAATACGCAAATATCTTTACAAAAATTAAATATTATGGATACATATAGGATATAAAAAGAATATATATATAGAATATAAATATAAAGGATTAAAATATTACAAAACATATTATTTTCTAGCCTACATAAATATGAAAAACCACTGCTTTAATGCCTTCTTCATCTCGGGTGGCTTTTAAAGCTCAGGTTTTTAAACACACTTTATTATTATTGTTCATTTATTCATTTGCTGAAAATTAGAACTGTATTTAGAAATAGTTTTAAAACAAATATCTGCGATTAACAAACAAAATTAATTATTTATAAGCTAATTGATGTCTGTGCGTAAAGATTAACCTATCCACAAGAGCAAAAGTGAAAGTAGATCATTTATCTCTCATTCTCGCGCGGTAGATGCTCTGTTTAACTGTTTGCTTGCTAGTGAAATGCTCAGTTTTTCCACTTACACTTACTTTACGTCATGTAAATAGCAAATGCGCTTATGGCGCGACGCAATTGGCTCTTAAACGGAATGAGAGTTGAGACTCTGATTGGTTTATTCTCAAAACACACCTATAACTCATTAAGAAAAATAAACTCAACCCTTTCAGACCATGCGCCACAGCGCAAAGTGGATTTTTTCGTCCTTATATCAGCAAAAATGCATTCTGACATGCCCTGAAAGTGTTTGTGCCCTGCGTTTTGTGCTTTGCTCATGGACCGTCAAAATAGAGCCCATGGAGAAAGTCAGTAATCATAAATTTGGTAACATGAGTATTAAAAAAAATATCTTTTACGTCACCTCTCAAAACACATATTTATTTCAAAAGCATACATATACCTCTCATGTTCATCTTAGGAATGCACTGAATTTTTGCTTATTGAAACTGAAACTGACTAAGAAGTGTGACCAAAAAAATGAGCCAAAAAAGCCATGCCACAATGGCATGCAGTGTTTAGCATGCTAGTTTTACTCTTCCTCCAGCCATAATAACTGTGTCATTGGAAGCAGCTTTAACACTGTATGTGGAAAGCACTTTGCTATGAAACCCATTAATTTCAATGGCTTATGCTGCTCTGACCAAAGCACAAAAACAGCAGAGCGCACCATCAACTAGCTTGTGTGTGTGTGCCACAATCAATGTTCAAAATAACTCAATATTCCACTCTGTTTATATTCCACTAATGTACACATATACTTGCAGAATCCATGCATGAACCACCGAGACATGCTTACCGGAAAAGCAAAATCTGCTCAAATACCTCACAGACAGCAATTTTCTATGCTGTATACTCGTTACAGCGGCTTGCAATATTGTATTTTTTTTAATCATTAGAATATAAGTTATTGGGTTTTAATTAAAAAAAAAAAATACTTACAAAATTACTTTTACCCCTTACTAAATCACTTTTAGGAAATTCTACAGCAAATCTGAGGAATCAATCAAGAGCAATTTAATACTAAGTATTTAGTAATAATTTAGTAAATAATGTTTGAACTGAGCCCAGGACTCCAGCTTGGTCAAAAAGCATATAAGAGGGTCTGAGATCAGGTAGATCTTGAGAGCTCTTCCTTGGTAAAGTGAGAAAAAGGAGGAGATGGGGTGGAAGTGGGGATTCTTCCAAAACAAAGATAGTAGGGTGAATTTGGTCTATTTATTGTAAGCTTGAATTACAGTTTTTCTCCATTGATTTTCCTCATTTCTTGAAACAATTCTCAAAATTCTAAGATCATTTGGCAAAACAGTCTTACAGTTTAGCACAACACTATAGCTCACTTGCAAAAGCTCATATCATTTCAAAAACGGTACACTCATGCATCAAAACTAAATTCCTTTCCCATATAAAAAGTCAGTGCCACAATATATATATATATATATATATATCTCAAGTTCTTTGGCTCATTTCTTGAAACAGACCAGACATTCTCAACACTCTTGGTGCTTTTGCCTAAATAATGTGGATGGTTCGGCACAACACCATGGTTCACCTGCAACAGCTCATACCTTTCCCAAAACAGTTTACTCAAGTGTCAAAACTAAATTTCCTTCACATTTAAACAGTCAGTGCCCCCAAAATGCTTCGTCCCTTTAGCAATGTGTAAGCATTGCAAGTCAAAATGTTTAGATGTTTTGTCACTATGGCAAAGAACTACTAAAATATCCCCCATGTCCACCTTACAGACTTAGCCCAGTCCTTCCTTGACAATGGTTACTGAACTTTTTTTGTCTAGGTTTTAGAGTAAGAGTAGCCTCCAAGGTTTGATGTCACACATTGCACTCATACTGCCAAGGAAATGGTAACTCTTTTTTTTATTGTAATGATCAACCACACACAAAATAACTTCCATATATCAGAGCAAGAAAAAACTGGATACAGCATTATAAACTGTAACATAAACACACAAACAAAAAACTTGAGTGCTAAAAGTAAAGGTGGAGTTTCATAACCATGACCGCCGTCCTCACCCTCCTGACCATCCACATGCTGTAGTCTGTGTGGCCTCAGATTCTCATCCACATCAAAACTTATATTCTCCCTTGCGATGCAACGAGGGAAGAAACAACGTGAATGTTCCAACCATTCCCTACAATGATCAAATGTTCCAAGGATTTACCTAATGTTGGGTTTTCATGCTATTGTGGTCTGAACAACCTATTGTGCATGTAATGACATATACAATGAAATGACGCTGACAAAGTTTTGGAGAGAACAACTATTAGACTGAGAATTAACAATCAGTTTAGATTAACAAGATCTATTTACTTGGAAATTGTGCTAAATGTAGGCTATCTGCACTTAATCATTTGCAAAGTGGGTAGCATGTTCACTTCAAAGCAAGAAGGTCAGTGGTTCGAGCCTCGCCTGGGTCTGTTTGATTTTCTGTGTGGAGTTTGCATGTTCTCCAAGTGTTGGCGTGGGTTTCCTCCGGGTGCTCTGGTTTCCCCAACAGTCCAAAGACATGTGGTATAGGTGAATTGGGTAGGCTAAATTGTCCATGGTGTGTGTGTTTGTGAATTAGTGTGTATGGATGTTTCCCAGTTGGTTGCAGCTGGAAAGGCATCCACTGCATTAAACATATGCTGAATAAGTTTACGATTCATTCTGCTGTGGCAACCCCAGATAAAGGTTATTATTGGTAATTGGTAATTAATTAATCTGATTGGATTATTGCTGATTACGAATGAGAGGCCAGCCACAATCAATCATATCATGCTCTCCTCTCAAAAATAGTTAGTAAAACTTCATATTTACAGTGAAAACTGTCAAGTATTTGTGTCTAACTGACAATACGTCTTACTAGACAAATTTTTTGTATGTTTCTTCCTCATAAAAATCTAGCTTAAAGTTAATTTTAATAATTTATTTAGATCCAACCCACTATAGAATCACCCTAAACATTCATAAATTGTGAACTCTTCACAAAAAGAGTTGTTCAATCTATCTGATGAAATATATTTCATATAGCAATGCATCGCTAAAAAACAAAATATTGCAATGTCAATTATTTCATGCAGCCCTTATTACCAGTATTATAATGCTGGCCTGTTGATAATAGAACTGCCAGGGAACATTGTAAACCAAAAACTGCCAGCAGATAAAATGTTCTCATGCACACAACTACTGTTATGGGATGGCTTAAAAACATTCACTGTTTTGTACCATCGTCTTCACGAAGTAATGTCTAGAGTTGTGAAATTATTACATTTGTGCAACAAAAATGATGCTGAGGATGATCAATCATCAACAAAGCTCTGTTTATTCATTGTGTTTAAATCTGATTACCATCAGCTTAGTTAAAAGCATTGCTTAGTAACACAGAGCGATAAAACATAAGCAGTACAAAAATGACAGCCTGAAAAAAGATGCATTATATAGGCAAACAGGAAGACTTGAATAATTAATTGATAATCTGTTATGTAAATTTTAATGGCAGCTATGGTTAATTTTGCTCCCGTGGCTGTTTCTAAGTGTATGATTTTTCCATTGATCTACAGTTGAAGTCAGATTTACTGGCCCTTCTGAATTATTAGCCCCATGTATATTTTTCTCAATTTCTCATTATGGAGAGTAGACTTGTTTTTAACACATTTCGAAACATAATAGTTTTAATAATTAAATACTAATAAAGAAAAAAAATATCTTTTTATTTGCCATGATGACAGTACATAGTACTTTACTAGATATTAGAAGTATTTCTAGTATTTACACTCGCCAGCCACTTTTTTAGGTACACCTTACTAGTACCGGGTTGGACCCCTTTTTACCTTCAGAATAGCCTTATTCCTTCATGTCATAGATTTAACAAGGTACTGGAAATATTCCTTAGTGATTTTGGTCCACATTGACATAATAGCATCACACAGTTGCTGCAGATTTGTCGGCTGCACACCCATGATGTAAATATAAAATTCCACCACATCCCAAAGGTGCTCTATTGGATTGAGTTCTGGTGACTGGGGAGGACATCTGAGTACATTGAACTCATTATTATATTCAAGAAAGCAGTTTGAGATGATTAATGTATTATGACATGCCACGATCTCTTGCTAGAAGTAGACATCAGAAGGGTACACTGTAGTCATAAAGGGATGGACATGGCCAGCAGCAATACTCAGGTAGGTTGTGGCATTGATATGATGCTCAATTGGGACTAATGGGCCCAAAGTGTGTCAAGAAAATATCCCTCACACAAGGCAGGATGGATTCATGCTTTCATGTTGTTGACTGGGGTGTAGCAACCGGAGGGAAATGTCCCCCTCACTTTTAGAGACAGATCATTTAATAACAGGTGATTAATAATGATAAAAATTTTAACTTATGGATCTAATACAGCTGCAACAGCAGCAGAAATCGAGACTAATAAGACCAGGCAACATTGTTTCAATCTTTTATTGTCCAGTTTTGGTGAGCCTGAGCTAATTGTAGCCTCAGTTTCCTGTTCTTAGTTGGCAAGTTAGGATTATTAGGCAAATCATTATTTAACTAAAAATACTGCTGAAGAGGGCTAATAATAATAAATTTTTATGTAAAACTGCTTTTATTCTAGCCAAAATAAAACAAATAAGACTTTTTCCAGAAGCTAAAATTTATAGCAAATATTGTGGAAAATGTCTTGCCCTGTTAAACATCATTTTGGAAATATTTAAAATTCACAGAAGGGCTAATAATGTTGACTTTAACTGTACTTCTTTTCATTCTGCTTGTGCATTTAAATATCTTTATAATGACAGAATACTTGCAATGAACATTTGTGTAAACCTAAGGTTAATCTGAGGTCAGCCATGTAGGGAGACGGTATGTATTTCACTGACATTAAAAACAGCCTTACTACGAGTGGAAGGACTTCATCTGTCAAAACATCTTTCACCATAACAAGGCAGCCATCATTTCCTCTCTTAAGCACACAGGCGTGAAAATGCTTGTCAAAACCTAAGACACGCCAAGCAGGCTGAAGCAAGTGTACTTGTAAAAACCTCAGCTATATTTAAACGCATAAACACACACTTCCTGATACCTGCAAACAAAACCCTTAAATGATGTCAACGACTACAATGTTGTTTATTTTTAATATGGCTACAACATAAATATCATGTTTCATCTGAATCAACCAATGGATTTGTTCAAAATGTACAAGCAAATGAACTGCAGCTTTTTATTGTAATGCTTAAGCCCGGAAAGCTACTTACCATGATTGTCGTTTTCAGTGCTGCCGATGAGGGCCGGCTCGGCAGGGTGGGCCTGTTTGGCAGAGCGCCCCTTTGACGTGCCCGAGAAAGGCTTCACCACCCGGGCACTGCTGGAGGTGTCCATGCCTGTTTAGGACACAAATAGATTAGGCCAAAGGAAAAAGCACTATCTGCATAAGAACAAAATAAACACAAAGGTGCTTTTACTGTATTTGAAAGTGTTTGAATCAGGGATTATGAAGACCTGCTGAGACAGTTCAGCGCACACACAGAATGACATAAAGTGCACATTAACACAAACCTACTTACTATTATGTGACTTTGTGGCTTATTGAATGGGGAATATTATAATCAGACTGTCTGTCTGTCTGTCTGTCTGTCTGTCTGTCTGTCTGTCTGTCTGTCTGTCTATCTATCTATCTACCTGTCTGTCTGTCTGTCTAATTTATTAGTCCATCCATCATCCATCCATCCAGCCATACATCTGTCTGTCTGGCTATCCATCCATTCATCTGTCATCTATCCATCCATCCATCCATCCATCCATATATCTATCCAGCCTTCAATCTGTCCATCCATACATCTAACCTTGTCTGTCTGTCTGTCTGTCTATCTATATATCTGTCTCTTAGTCTGTCTACCCATCCGTCTATCTGTTCATCCATCTGTCTATTTAACCATTCATCCATCTATTCATCCATTTCTGTCTGTCTATTTGTCTCTGTCCATCCATCATCCATCCATCCATCTATCCATCCATCCATCCATGTGTTCATCTGTCTATCTATTCACTTGTCTGTTTGTTCATCATCCATCTATCCTTTCGTCCATCCATACATTCATCCATCTATCTATCCTTCCATCCATCCATCTATCCATTTATATGTCTGTCTATCCATCCATCCATGCATCAATCTGTCTCTTAGTCTATCTATCTATCATCCATCCATATGTCCATATCTCTTTTAATCTGTCCATCCATCCATCCATCCATCCATCCATCCATCCATCCATCCATCCGTCCATCCATCATCTGTCTGTCAGTCATTCATCCATCAGGCCATCTATCTATCCTATCTATCTATCTATCTATCTATCTATCTATCTATCTATCTATCTATCTATCTATCTATCTATCTATCTATCTATCTATCTATCTATCTATCTATCTATCTTTCTGCCTATCTGTCTGTCTCTTAGTCTCATCCATCTATCCATCTGTTTGTCTATTCGCCCGTCTGTCTGTCTGTCTGTCTGTCTGTCTGTCTGTCTGTCTGTCTCTCTGTCTATCTATCCATCCATCCATTTATCCATGCATCCATCCATCAATCCATCCAGCCATCCATTAATCTGTCTGTCTACCTATCCACCTATCCATCTTTCCATCATCCATCTATGCTTTCGTCCATCCATCCATCCTTTCATCCATCCATCAACCATCTAACCTTCTGTTCTTCTATCTATCCATCTGACCATATGCCTGTCTGTCTGTCTATCTATCTGCCTATCTATCCATACATCCAACCAACCAGCCTGTCCATCCAAGTTAATCTAAGTTAAATTCTGGCTAAGCGGATTTTCCTCCAGTCGTCTATTCAGAAGGGAAATAGGCGGTTCAGTGCAATGAATGAAGCCTGACAATGACTAATTAAAATAAATAGTGCTTATTAGAATGTGATCATGCTTTCTTATTAACTTAAATCAATGTCATTTCAGTTCTTCATTATAGTTTGGCCTAATGGGTCACTAATTTGTGTCTTTTTAAAATGCCATTAATTTTAGTGTGCTATTATTTGCTGAACAGTGGCCGGGCATATGGCTGCATGATTTATCATGTGTCAAAGGAGATTTTATGAACATCACGGAGAAATGCTTCACCTAATGCATGCTGTGGGAACGTCTCGCTGTCAGAAATGCTAATATATTTCCCCTGAAAGCAGAGTTAGGGAGTTTACTTTTAGCATGACCAAAACAAACTTTCACAGGATTCCAAAGTAGAAATGCTGCTACACATGTACTGACACATTTGCAGCATGTTCAAGACAGCAAAAAAATCAAGCTCTAACCCCTTTACCCATCACAGCCTACATGAAAGAACATGACAACCTTTTCTTATTTAAATGCCAACTAAAACAACAGGTAACACTCACAGATTTACTGTGCTCAGCATACTGTAACAGCAGATCACAGAACAGCCCTCTCATCACCTAACCCACAAAGAGGAACCATAGATCTTCAAGTGCTGAAGATCATTAGACCAAATTATTTATGGCCCACAGGCTGAAGCTCATTTTGTGAGCCAGAAGTTGATTCCAGAAAGGAAAAGAGCAATAAGGTAATAGGAAAAGCAGCTGGTAGGACTAAGTGCTATGGTATTTGGGGAATTTATCACACACTTTAGAAAGGCTGTGGATGGAAGTGTGCCTACACAATCAAAGAAACACACACGGCTCATTCCTGCCACGCAATAGCTATCAAACCATAACTTCAGAAGAATAAATATGCTTGAGCTGTATTTTCAGTATTTTAATTAAAATGTTTTGTTTTTTTCCCTGACTGACAGCCTGACAGCATTTAAATGTTATTAATAATTATTTTTAGACAATCGGACAACAGTTTTTCTCAGTCGCTTTGGTGCATTTCTCACAGAACTATTTACATTTGCACAATAGTTAATGCATTTCTCAAAACTATTAGTCATTTTTGCACATCATATGAGCAGTTTCTCATTCCTTCCAACAAATTGCAAATTCTCTTGGACATGCATCAAAATAAAGCACCAATGTTAATCATTAAGTTAATCATTCATTTATTTTCTTTTCAGCTTAGACCCTTTATTAATCTGGGGTCGCCACAGCGGAATGAACCACCAACTTATCCAGCATGTTTTATGCAGCGGATGCCCTTCCAGCTGCAACCCATCTCTGGGAAACATCCATACACACTAATTCACACTCATACGCTGCAGACAATTTAGCCCACCCAATTCACCTGAACCGCATGTATTTGGACTGTGGGGGAAACTGGATCACCCGAACGAAACCCACGTGGACGCGGAGAAAACATGCAAACTCCACACAGAAACACCAACTGAGGAGGTTTCTGTGTGGAGTTTGTATGTTCTCCCTGCGTTTGCGTGGGTTTCCTCTGGGTGCTCCGGTTTCCACCGCAGTCCAAAGACATGCAGTACTGGTGAGTAGGCTAAATTGTCCGCAGTGAATGAGTGTGCATGGATGTTTGAATTGAAGCTGGAAGGGCATCAGCTGCGTAAAACATATGCTGGATAAGTTGGCGGTTCATTCCGCTGTGGCGACCCCAAGTTAATAAGGGGACTAAGCCAAAAAAGAAAATGAATGAATGAATTATGTCACTTCCTTGGGTATTATGTTATTTAAAACATGGTTTATCTTTAATATTTTAGTAAGATCTAAATAAGATGATAAAAAGCAAAATTGGGGGCACAGGACATCTCTATTTAGCCTATCATTCATTACAATAATATTTTTAAGAAAATATTTTAGTTTTGCAGTAACACAATAAAGGTGTAATATTATTTCATGAACTGCAAGTTATTTTTTTTTCAGTTTCACCCCAAGCTAAAACTAATGTCACATTTTGTAATTACAAACTTTTAATAATCAACCCAATGTAATAGGACATACACAGTTTTTTAATACAAGACACAATGTACAGTAATTTCCCAAAGGATTGGGTTATTAAAGAACTGTCTGTTTTCCATTATTTCTAGACGGTTTTACAAAACAAAAATAATATGACATTGAAGTCACAGGGAGAAACTTTCTGGTTATTGATTAAAGCAACATTTCAAAGAAAACATGGTTCACAACAACACACCGACTGTAAAATATTCTGGGTTCCACACAATCGATTTTGTTGGGTCAACATAAAGGAATTAAGTTAATTTATTAGTTCATTCAAATTTAAGTGGATTGAACATAAAACAATTAAGTTATCCCCACAACAACTCAAGAATATTATTGCTTAAACTTAATTTATATAAGTTGTTAAACACACACAGAAAGATAAACATCTGTATTACTTGTGCAAGTTTCATTTTCACCCCATGGTAAAACTTGTGACATTTTTCCATTAAACTTTTTAATATTTAACCCAACATGGTAGGACAAAGACAAAACATGCGCACAGTGAGGATGACCCACATAAGTGCTCAAACAGTGTGTGAGTGGTTAATAATATGACTGACAGCTCACATATAAACACCACAACACATTCCACTAGCATATTCCGTTCCACCTCCAAAAAAGCACTAACACCATATAACGCGTTAAAGCACGCGTCTTCCCAGAGGAAAGGTGCGTTTATGTCTTTATTGACAGTATTGACAGATAATCGACTTCTCGAAGGCCACACCTACCTGGAAAGCCACCCAACACTGACGGGTGAGCGGGTGAGCGGGTCACCCACGTGGGGTCAGGCTGTAGCCTTTACTCTCGCGTCGCGCAGCTTCACTTTACATGGCAAACACACCTGACGCGCGGGGGGTCGCGGGGAGACGGGCGTCACGGTCGGTAGCCACACTCACGGCCCCCGCTGTGCGTATCCGCGGAGGAAGATGATGAAGGAGGAGGAAGAAGATGAAGAAGGAAAAAAGAGCCAGCTGATGCAAATGCTCACAAGCCGACTACTTTCACCGTGTTTCCAGACTGCACTCGGCGCCCCTCTTCATTAATATGTAATCCACGAGCTGTCTCATTAAAATCCAACTCATAAGCACGCACACAGATACGGAGAAACGCCGGCAAAAAATATCAAAATACAAGAAGCTTTCATAGGCAGTGAAGCAAAATGGCGACTTTAATACGAAGGAGGAGTAAAAAAAAAAAAAAAAAAACCTCGCGCTGTTGCTAAAGGAGGCACGGGGATATGTTTAGTGCAGTAATCGAGGCTGGAAGAAGTGAACGCGACGGAAAGCGGAGGGGAAAGGCACGGCGTCGCGCAGTTTCCGCCGCAGCCCCCTCGATATATTCCTCTCCTTACCTCGGGATTATGCCGTGTATTTGTTTGATAGGGATATTATCTCCGCGACCGTGTACAGTAACAGTATGGGTGCTGGGTCACGCGCGTATCCGCTGCTGCTGCCTTTGACAGTTGTGACTACAGTCGGCAGGCAACTTGCAAACTCTCGCGTTATTATTTATGATCACTCATTTTGATATCAGGCCAATCATTTTGGTATTTCTGCATAATAAAGCTCCTGCCTGAATGGAAGCGTTTGATGCGGCTCGACGTCATGCCGCTCCGTTATGACGAAAAGGCTCCGGACGGCTACAATCTATCTATATGTAGTGGGCGCATAATATGAGATCGTTTGCATTATATGACGTAACTTGTACGACTCGTGGATTCAAGAAGAGATTTCGTAGTTGTTAAAGACTAGTTAATAATCTGAGAATGGGCATATTATCGACGTCGAGTAGGCTACTGTATTATTATAGGCTGTATTTTAGTTTATACCCATACTAATATAAATATTTTCAGTGAATAGCTTTTGCTGTCCATAGAAAAAAGTGTTAATGATCATATTTTAACATGACATCATACCAATTGTAAAGTTTAATGTGCATACAGTTAAAGTCAGAATTTTTAACCCCTGAAATATTATCCCCCATGTTTATTTTTTTTTTTGCCGAATAATTTCTGTTTAACGGAGGGATTTTTTTCAACACATTAAAGGCAAAAAAAATTAACTTAAAGAAGGCAATACCTTTTTAACTTAAAATGGATTAAAAAAAATTAAAACTGATTTTATTCTAGCCTAAATTAAAAAAATAACACTTTTTCCAGAAGAAAAATTGTAACATACTGTGAACATTTCCTGCTCTGTTAAACATCATTTGGGAAAAAAATAAAATAAATTCAAAGGGGGGCTAATAATTCTGACTTCAACTGTACATATGACATAGTTTTATTTATTTAATTTTCAAAATGAAACGTCCATGCATTTATTTTTATCCATTTATTTTTATTTTTGCTTTTTAAAATGATATAGACTAGTTCAATCCAATCAGTACCAAATTAGTTAAATGTCTATCTACAAGTCTTTGAATTTAAAATAATTAGATTTATAAGTTATAAAAAGAAAAATTATGACAAGATTAAGTTAAGCCAGAAGTCATTAAAGTTGAAGATAAAGTTAAAGTTGTGATGTGAGTCACGGTTAAAATATAATGCCTTTTTTGTTGTTGTTTTTGCTTTTTTAATGTTGGTTAAAATTTAGCCTATATTCCATAATTTCCCTGTTGTCAAAATCATCACTTTTTGGTCTTACAATACGAGAAATTGTTTTGGTTCTAAGCAATTTCGGCCATTTTGTCTTAATGCAAAATATTATAGAGTGTAATGTAAAACATCTTGTAATGCTTTTTAAACAATTCATTTTCTCAAAATGAATTCACAACAGAAAAATATACAGTTGAAATCAGAATTATTAGCCCCCTTTTGAATTGTTGTTCCTTTTTTAAGTATTTCCCAAATGACGTTTAACAGAGCAAGGAAATTTTCACAGTATGTCTGATAATATTTTTTTCATCTAGAGAAAGTTTTATTTGTTTTATTTCGGTTAAAATAAAAGCAGTTTTTAATAAAAACAAAAAAACAAAAGTATTTTTAAGGTCAAAACTAGCCCCTTTAAGCTATATTTTTTCAATAGTCTATTGAACAAACCATCATTATATCATTATACACTTTGCCTAATTACCATAACCTGCCTAGTTAACCTAATTACCCTAGTTAGTCCTTTAAATGTCACTTTAAGGCTGTATAGAAGTGTCTTGAAAAATATCTAGTCAAATATTATGTACTGTCATCATGGCAAAGATAAAATAAATCAGTTATTAGAAATTAGTTATTGAAAGTAATATGATTAGAAATGTGTTGAAAAAAATCTCTCCGCTAAACAGAAATTGTGGAAAAAAATAAACAGAAGGGCTAATAATGCAGGGGGGCTAATAATTCTGAATTCAACTGCATAAACTGTTTTGTTTTTAAAACTAAATATTTACCTCTTTTTTTTTGTTAGACCCTCATCATACAAAATACAATAGAAATTATGTTATATATAATTCATAGGTATTATTTATACTTCTAGGTATTTATTTAGGGGCCCTCAGATTTCCTGAGGCCCTAAGGGGCCACTTACCTTGCTATTTGGTGTTCATATATAGTAAAAGATACTACCTTTTTTGAGATTCTGGAAAAAAATAGGTTAAGAAAATCTAGAATATCCACAGCATTAGGACAATGTAGTATTATCATTATTATTTTTTTTTTTGTGACTACTATTAATATGTTTTTGTCATATGGTTAAAATAAAAATAATAAATAGTTAAAGATAGTAAAAAATATTTATAATAATCATAATATGCATCTCTGGTTTTATTTTATTTTTGGTTTTGTTTTCCTAAAGACAAAATCCATAGAATGATTTATGACATTGCAGGTTTTATTTCATTTTTATTTTTGGTCCAATGAATTTGCCAAAATAAAAAAAAAAATCTTACACAGTAATTTAGTGTGATTTGCAAGCAAAATCTTGAAAATATTTTATTCTAATTACTTTATTTAAAACAAGTTAAACATTCAGCTTCATATTTTCAAAACAGTTAACAACTGAGGTCTCATTTCCGCCAGAGGGCTCTTCAAAATGGTTTAATTACGTCTTTGACCTATTTGCTCTTTCCAACCCCTCTTCAAAGTATGACGTAATGTAAGTCAACTAATCACTGTTTCAGCGTCTACCAGGAGGGGGAGGCAAAGAACTGCTTTTCTGAGACTGAAGCGGAAAGTCCAAAATGTGGAAAAACTGATACCCCAAAACAAATATAACACAGCTTGTTTGTCCAAAAGTAGTCTCGTTCTTTTAAAAATCTCTGCTTTATCAGAGATATTGAGTTAGCATGCCCTAACATGCTTTCTTTGTTTACATCCTGTCAGGTGTTTTCTTTTCTTTATTTTATTTTTTTTGCTTCACTTTAGCACTCGATTTGCTAAATTACAATACTTATCCAATCACTTTTAGATAATCTAATTTACCTGAAAGTGCTTTTCCATCATACTGTCTGTCTCTTCTCTCTTTGTCGTTTTGCTCTCATAAAAGTGTCCACTAGTGAGCAGTATAGTCCAGGATTATTTGACAGTGGGATGAGTTTATGACAAATGAGAACAGGTGATGAGCACTTAAAACGTCCCTCAAACTATCAATCACATGACTTTAATAATGCACGTGAAATATAAATCTAAATCCTATAGGCCTTTCTATGTTATTAATATATCAGTCATTTATGCAGGAGTCTCCACATCAGTGTAGAGACTGAAGCACATGTAATACTTCAGCAGAGCAAGAAATATATCTATCAGAGGCCATATAAACAGCCCATGACCCTCTGGGTTAGTGACTGGTGAAGGCTAAAATACGCTGAGTTACAAAGTAGTCTTACATAATAAGCAGTTCATCTCATTTTGGACACATTCCCATAACCCTGAGGTAATACTGTGTGTTAGCGGCCAGTGCTGCTGTATTTTAGGCCATGAAATGAAGCAAAAGCATGCTGTGTGAGTAACTGCTCACAGTAACTCCTCACTGCTGAAATCCAAGAATAACTGAAGACGTGGAGAGACGTTTCTTTCTGCTGCTGAGATCGGCAGAGTGTGTTATTTTTGTTTGATCGAGAGAAATTGAGCGGTTTCTTTAAGGTTTCCTTCATTGTGCATAGAGAGACTGTGATTCATCTATCAATACACTTTCCATGAGGTCCTCATCTGGAATCCATAGGAGGTCCAACATTTATAGGTTGATTGCAAGATGCTTTTTGAGGGGTAAAAAACTTGTCCTATGTAAAAATGTACACAAAACACAATATTAAACTGGCCATGAATTCAAAATGTACTCTCTTATTTTTATGTGTGTATAGTAGTTTTTGGTATAAACAATGTATCTCTGTGCATCATTATTTAATAAACATTAGGTTGCTCTCTTATTTTTAATCAAATACCTTAACCTTCCCTCACTCCTCGGTATGAATTTCTCCTGGTCACATATAATTATTTTAGGGCAGAGCTATCAGTCCTTCTCATGTGAACCTGTTTAATACAAGTTTTTTTTTTATTATTATTATTCTTTCAAACTAAACTTGCAACTACATTACACATAAACCTTACATTGAAATAAAGGTCATAGTAAAGGTCATAGTACATTGAATACTTAAGTACATTTGAAGGCAAATGCAAAGTGAAAGTGTAATAGGAGCACCTTTACAGGAGTAATATTGTATACTCAAATACTTGGTTTGTGTACTTTGTCCACCTCTGGTACTTATATTACAAAAGATCCCAAAAACTGCACTTTTAAAAATATTTCTGCATATTTTCAAGTGTGTTAGTGATATAATCACAAAATATCCTTTCACTACACAAAATACAGTTGATTAAAGCCCCTGAGTTAAATACACCCCCCTGTTTATTTTTCCCTAACTTCTGTTTAACAGGCAGATTTTTTTCAACACATTTCTTAACAATAGTTTTAATAACTTATTTCTAATAACTGATTTATTTTGTCTTTGCCTTGATGACAGTAAATAATATTTTTCTAGATATTTTTCAAGACACTTCTATACAGCTTAAAGTGACATTTAAAGGCTTAACCAGGTTAATTGGGTTAACTAGACAGGTTAGGGTAATAAGGCAAGTTATTGTATAACACTGGTTTGTTTTGTAGACTACTGAAAAAAAATGTATGGCTTAAAGGAGCTAATAAGTTTAACCTTAAATGGTTTTTTAAAAATTAAAAACGGTTTTTATTTCAGCTGACTTTCTCCAGAAGAAAAAATATTATCAGACATACTGTGAAAATTCCCTACTCTGCAAAGGGGTTTTAATAATTCTGATTTCAACTGTAAGTGAAAAAAAAGGTAAAGCATGCCTCTTCTCCACAGTGTATTTCTTAATTATTACTGTGAAAAATGATTAGTTGACTTTACTTAAAAAGCAAGTAAACCTGTTGGTTGAGTTAAAACTACTTAACAATTCCAAGTTACAATGGGTTTACTCACTTTTTAAGCAAAGTCAACATGTTGCTTTTTTTTTTTTTTTAATAATCACTTTTTACAGTGATTGATGTACAAACAGTCACAAAAACATAAAAGATATCCCATGACTTAAATCCAGTGGTGTAAAGTAACTAATTACAAATACCCACTTACTGTTTTATTGTACTTAATTTTAATTAAGTACTTTTTCTCAGGATATGTAATTTACTAAGTAGCTTTAAAAATGTGTACTTTTACTTTCCCTTGAGTACGTTTTTAGTGCTGTATCTGTACTTTTACTCCACTACTTTCCTTTAACCTGCAGTCACTACTTTATTATTTCTTTTCTATAGGGATTAGGAAAGTCAGTCTTGTAATTCCCGTCAAATCAAACCACACATAGAGGGTAAATCACTTCATAATGAACTACCTCAAGACATGTGCGATTTATAAATGCAGAAAACTGTTTGGAAG